TCTCGAGGGTGCAGGCTCGGACACGGTTGGTGGAGAGGCATTTCAGAGCCTTGAGTTTATCCCCCAGAGGTTTGGCTTTCAGGGTATATATGATGGGGTTTCCCAAACAGTTCATGGTTATCAGCATAGCCGTGCAGTTTCGAAAGATGTAGATGCCTGGGTAGAGATCGGCGTGGCACTGGTGGTTAGTTGCATCGAATATGACTCCCGCGAAAAAAGGAGCGTAGGAGATCAACGCCAGGAGCCAAATAAAGATGCTGGTTCTGGCAACCTGGATTTCAGCTGATTTGTAGGTGCCAGTAGCTTGTCCGCATGCTTTCATTCTCAGCTTTCTTTTCCTCAGGATGATAATGATTCTAAGGTAAGTGAACAGAGGTATAATAAAAGCCGCCACCACAATATTGGGAATGGTGATGAAGATGAGGTAGTCGACGCAAAACGGACTGTAGAGGACAGAGAGGTTTTTTCTCCTATGCAAGCAGTTCCACCCCATCAATGGCAAGCAGCCCAAAAAGAAAGCAAGGACCCAGTTAATTAAAACCGCAGCTACGGAATGGTTTCTAGCAGCCCTGAATCTTGTCCTCATGCTTTCAGCCACAGCCAGATAGCGTTCAATTCCAATGCTTACCAAGTTATAGATGGTGGATAAAATAGACATAGTATATAAGGCATAAGGTGCAAGCATATCCTTGGATCCAAAGATTGTAATGTCAGGATTGGTGATGAACAGCGTTGAAATCCAAAAGCCAGAAAAACTGGTGAAGAGATCAGAAAAAGCCAAATTGCAGAAGAGGATAGAGATGGGCTTGTGCAGATCCTTAGTCGCTATTCTGGTGAAGATGACCGTGCAGTTGAAGATCACAGATGCGATGTTAATGGTCAGTTGAGGGATGCCCAGTGCAAGTACTAAATAATGACTCCAAATTTTAGTGTGGTTAGCAGAGCAGTTTGGGTATCCGTTCATGGTGGAAAATCCTACTTTCAGCCGTTAACGAGGTCTGCTTCACTCATCCCGTACTCCGCAAGAGACCATACTACATGAGTGTTACTGCCACCGTGTTCTCCAGGCGAAGAATGAATCCTGACACACAGCCTCTGTTGCCACATCATCATCATGACAGTGGATTAAACTTTAACTAATCGTGTTTTTAAATATTTGGGTTACCAACTCAGGGCATAGCCAATTACCTTTAAGTTGCTAGGGTAGCCAAAAGTGGAAAACATATTTACTACTACACAGATGATCTGCTTAAAGCAACCCTTATCAAGAGCAAAATCTGGCCAGTTCTTGTGAAGATGAATGATCACATCAGTAGTTTAAAAGTCTTTAAGGATATTCTAAAATGGAATGAGTGTGAATTCAGCTTTAATTCACAAATAAATTAGATGGGTAAAGGCTTAGAGAGTCAGAAAACAGAGAGCAGTAATTTTTTGGTTTTGGAGGGGGGAGTATGTGACTGATGGAACTCAAAGAAGAACACCACCACTGTTGTGTCACTAACCTGGACCCCAGTTCAGTGAGGATGTAAGTCCTAATTTCAGATTGACTCTAGTGACATCACAAAACTTCTGAAGTGCTCAAGATTGAGCAAGAGACAACAGAACCTAGTTGTTCACTGCCTCTTGCTTACAGTTACAAATCGGTGCAGCCACCAGCGGCTCTTTTTCTAAGCGGAGTTAGATCATATCTGCAGAACAAACCCCAAACTTGTGAGCAAAACCATATGATGAACTGCAGCGCTTCAAAGGGGATCCAAAAAGATAAGAGTCTCTGTCTCCACAGATGCTCTTGTGCTTGGCCCCGCAGAAATACCTCCTTACTGAGTACTGGAGTACTCAGAAGTTGTCAGACTACACCTGAAATTGTGTGGCATTTCTTTCTCTTGTGTAAATCAGAGGTACTGGTGCTTTATAAGCTTAAAAAAAAAAAAAAACAAAAAAAAAAATGCATTTAATGAGCTTGCTTATTTAAAGTTAATGTGCAACTTGTACATTAATAAAACAACATAATATCATTATATCTTTTCTTTCTCTGTCTTTTTAAAGGTAAATTACCTCTGAGAACTGGATTTAAAATACTTGAGATGGGGAAAAAAGCTCTTTGGACGTACGCTCAATGCTATCAGACAGCAGAGGGCACTGCTGGAACAAACAATACAGTATACAGCGGGGAACACGGGGGGTTTAAACAGCGGAGCAGTTTATGTCAGCAGTACATCAGCATATCAATATCAGCAGCGCCATGGGTATTTTTCCTACGCAGAAGTGGCTGCTTTTGTTTGCTAACGCTGAGCGTGGGTCGCCTCTGTGCCACCCCACGTCTTATTCAAAATGCTCACATAACAAGGAGAAACCTCCAGCGCGCTCTGGCTGCTACCTGGCATCTATCTGCAACCGAGCAGCTTTCCTTTAGCAAAATTATCCAGGTAAAGCCATGTTACTTACAAAGTGATTCTGATTTAATTTATGTTTTACGGTTATCCTAACGAAGGATTAATTTGCATTAGTAACAACTTTATACCGTGATACTGCAAAGCAGCTCAGCTAAGTTTATGGGCTTTCCACATTCGGCGCTGACATCTGATCATTATAGCAGCAATTCCAGCTCTAGAACTTCACATCTGTGAACTGTATGATAGCTCCGCCAGAATTTATAATGTAAGAAACTCGTGCTAAAATGTTGAGCTTAAAAAGGAAAATTCTATAGCTTCTTTTTTTCTGTTAAAGTTGAAGTGTATGAAAGTATATTCAGGTTAGTGTGCAACTGCAGTAGTACACAATTACTGTGTACTAGAAATACTTCATGCAAATAAGTAATAAGTATTTCAGACGGTCACAAGGAAGTGCAAAGAATGATTATATAGAAATAAGGACTGAGAATTGATTAATCAAGTCTGCTGATGTATTAATATCCTATAAAATATTCTTCTCAGAGTATCACAGATAAACCTTTCTTTGTGCATCCTACAATCCACCTCATACAGACTTGTCAGCCACAGCTTTGGTGTGAGGTTGCTGCTGAGCAAGGGCTCTACTATTTCTGTCACCTTGTCAGTGCCAGCACCCCAAGCCAGCAAGTCCTGTTAATAACAGCAAGTGAGTCAGCAGGTAACGTACAGCACAGGGGTCGTGGCTGAACCCCAGCCAGCAACCAAACCCCACCCAGCCGCTCGCTCGCTCCCCTCGCAGTGGGATGGGGGAGAGAAT